ACCCCCACTACCACTACAACTCACCCCTCTCTACCACTACAACTCACCCCTCTCTACCACCACAACTCACCCCCTCTACCACCACAACTCACCCCTCTCTACCACCACAACTCACCCCCTCTACCACCACAACTCACCCCCTCTACCACCACAACTCACCCCTCTCTACCACCACAACTCACCCCCTCTACCACTACAACTCACCCCCTCTACCACCACAACTCACCCCCACTACCACTACAACTCACCCCCTCTACCACTACAACTCACCCCCTCTACCACCACAACTCACCCCCTCTACCACCACAACTCACCCCCTCTACCACCACAACTCACCCCTCTACCACTACAACTCACCCCCTCTACCACCACAACTCACCCCCTCTACCACTACAACTCACCCCCTCTACCACCACAACTCACCCCTCTCTACCACAACAACTCACCCCTCTCTACCACCACAACTCACCCCCACTACCACCACAACTCACCCCCACTACCACCACAACTCACCCCTCTCTACCACCACAACTCACCCCCACTACCACCACAACTCACCCCCTCTACCACTACAACTCACCCCCTCTACCACTACAACTCACCCCCTCTACCACCACAACTCACCCCCACTACCACTACAACTCACCCCTCTCTACCACTACAACTCACCCCTCTCTACCACCACAACTCACCCCCTCTACCACCACAACTCACCCCTCTCTACCACCACAACTCACCCCCTCTACCACCACAACTCACCCCCTCTACCACCACAACTCACCCCTCTCTACCACCACAACTCACCCCCTCTACCACTACAACTCACCCCCTCTACCACCACAACTCACCCCCACTACCACTACAACTCACCCCCTCTACCACTACAACTCACCCCCTCTACCACCACAACTCACCCCCTCTACCACTACAACTCACCCCCTCTACCACCACAACTCACCCCTCTACCACTACAACTCACCCCCTCTACCACCACAACTCACCCCCTCTACCACTACAACTCACCCCCTCTACCACCACAACTCACCCCTCTCTACCACTACAACTCACCCCTCTCTACCACCACAACTCACCCCCACTACCACCACAACTCACCCCCACTACCACCACAACTCACCCCTCTCTACCACCACAACTCACCCCCTCTACCACCACAACTCACCCCCTCTACCACCACAACTCACCCCCTCTACCACCACAACTCACCCCCTCTACCACCACAACTCACCCCTCTCTACCACCACAACTCACCCCCTCTACCACTACAACTCACCCCTCTCTACCACCACAACTCACCCCCTCTACCACCACAACTCACCCCCTCTACCACTACAACTCACCCCTCTCTACCACCACAACTCACCCCCTCTACCACTTCAACTCACCCCTCTCTACCACCACAACTCACCCCCTCTACCACCACAACTCACCCCTCTCTACCACCACAACTCACCCCCTCTACCACTACAACTCACCCCCTCTACCACCACAACTCACCCCCACTACCACCGCAACTCACCCCCTCTACCACTACAACCATTATAATAACAGCGATGTAATCCCCTGGTAGTCAATTCAAACAGTTAAGTTGCCATTTTTCCCAACAAATGAATACAGTCCGGTGCTCGCCTACTTACATTGTTCACGCTAATGACTCGTTAAGGGATCCAGTGATATATGATTTGATTAATGATGTATAATTGGTGATATACATTTGTAATTTATATCATCCGGGTATTGTTGATATGTGTATTCTAAATGTTATTTCTTAGTATGAATTGAGTTTTTAAAAAGGGGCAGTTTATTGCAATATTATTTTTTTTGCTTCGTATAGAATTACACATTTTTTTTTTAAATGTTAAACAATATAATGATTTACTGCTGCATCAGAAGCAAGCGTAGTTTTCACAATATTATGTTAACAGTGCACTATAAATTGTATAGTAAGTATATGCTGATGCCTGTATATTGTATACACATTAACATACACATTAATGACAAGAATGGTTTCCGTGGTAATTTCAGACATACTAAACTCTCATTTCAAGATTGATATGTTCAATTATATACAATATCCAATCTGTTGAGTATATATAATTAAAAGATTCGCCCGGTGCACTACTATTAACTAAATACAAACCTTATGACAGTGCAATAATATGATTATTAATTTTATTATCATTATTATTTGTAGTTATAATGTATACTAACGAAGGCGGCATCTGCAACCAAGGGAAGTAATTATTCTCTGCAGCGGTAACTCAGGCATCCTGGCCTGTCCTCCCCGAGGAAGTGACCTCTCAAAGAACTTCCTGTCTAGTTCAACTCTGAATACTTGAAAGACACAATTACCCCACTGCGTTGTTCTTTTAAGGTTTTAATTAAACACGCACGCGCACAAAAAAAATAATAAAACACCGTGTTTTGTTTTAAAATGGCTTTTGATGTGTGTATACAACGTTAAAGACACTATTGTATCGTATATATATTCTTGCATAAGTGTTATAAGCTTGTACAACAAAAATAACGTGGATAGCGTGTATTCTGAAACATAAACATGGGAAAACATCCTAGGCTATCACCCAGTAAATGAATGGCATATACGGCAAACGGACATGCAATAGTCTTGATA